AGGCCCCCCAGGTGTGCGCCGGCTGCCTCCCCAGCCACCAGCAGCAGAGGCTCAAATACCTCCTCTCCCTGGGCTGCAACGCGCTTCCACCGACCAGGGCGGTCCAAGGAACCCCTCTGCCTCAGCAAACCCCCTGCACCTCCACACCCCTCCACCAAGAGCACTGCGGGGCGTCAGAACAACCTTCACGCCTCCAACCAACAGTCTGCAGAGGTGGACCAGGCTGGCTCCGTAGCAGTGGAATTATCCCCAGTGAGGCAGCATCTCTCCCAGGACCAGCTCATGCCACAACACAGGAGCAATGTCCCCCTGCCCAAAGCCTCCAGAAGGGAGATGGAGAGTGTCACTGCCCCAGGCAGCAGTTTCTCTGGATGTCACAGCCCTTTCAATGAGCAACCAGTGCTGGGGCTCCAAGGAGGAGAGCTGCCCCCCTCTGACACACGCTGAGAGGCCAGGAACCACAGAATCTGGTCTGGCATGTCTAAGGACTTCCCGGTCCTAAACAGCACGAGCCTTCCAGGAGCACATAGTCCTTGTCCTCGAGGTCATATATTGTGAGATACTCAGGAGTTAACCCGGGGTGTGACAACAGCAAGGACAATGGAAGAAACCTAGGAGGAGGGGAGAAGATTTCGGGCACTCAGCAGCTCCCCAGGGATGGACCCCCGGGCCAGCGGCTCAGACGAGCCCTTTGATGAAGCTCGTGTCCAAGTGCACTATCAGCATGCGAAGAAAGGACATTTCTTTGCGCGTGTTCTCAAAGATAACGCGAGGGTCGTCAGACTGGCAGCGCAGGCAGTTGGGGGCCATCACCATGGCCAGGTTATTCACGTCCATCTTCGTTCTGCCCACATTTGACGGCTGAGCAAAGATCTGCAAGGTAATAAGAAGACGTTCAGCTGGAGCAGTGGAAAAGGGCAAGAGCTCCAAGCAGGAGGCCTAAGCAGAGGTGCAAGGACAGCCGAGATGGGGCCTCCCTGGAGGACAGTGCCCCAACAGCCACACATCCACAGCGGAAGGCCGCTGTGCTCTGACGCAGCTGGCAGCACGGAAGCCTCAGCAGACAGGGAACATCTTGCAGATCTCAACCTCTGGGACCAGCCCCATGCTATACAAGATCAGGAATACAGTTTACTGCTTCCATAAGGGACAAGACCAGCAGATCCCCCTCCATCAATCCCACCTTACATACAGGCAAGAGGTCCTAGAACCCTGCGATGGCCCACCACCACTGTGCCGCCAACGCATGCTGCAGGCGCGCTCCCGGCTCGTGGCTGGGGTGGGGGGCACAGGGCTGCGGGGGCTGCCCAGCTGCAGGAAGTGAATGAGGTAACACAGCACCAGCCGGTTGAGCTCCGGCAAAAGCTGCACCACGGCCACGGCAGCGTCTGGGGTCTCGTAGGTGCGGATGG